GCAGGCATACACAGTCTCAACATCTGAGGAGAAACACCATCAACACCTTGAGCGTTTGATTTTATATCTGAAATAATTTTAAGTACATCTGCATGATCGACAAGATTAAAAGCAAACTTAAAGTCACGGTGAAAAAAATGGGTCTGATAGAACTCTATACTTTGAGAACAGACATAATCACTATTTTGAAAGACTGAGACCAGATAATCATTAATGCCGTTCGGATTACATAAATGTGCTGGAATTTCAGAATCATTAGTACATTGAATTTTTAGTGTCTTAAGAGCTTTATAAAAAAAGCGTGTATTTTTTTGATCATTTATATGTTTTAAGTATGCAGCTTTTTCTCTACGAACAGAAGCTTTAGCAAAATTTCTCCACTGTTTGTAATTGTCCCAGTTTTCAGGTGTTTTGCGCCTTTTATAAATATGTAAAGCTTTATCTCGTAAATTCATAATCAATTTCAAATTTTCAGTTAGCCAAGGAGCACGCGGTTTGCTAACACGGACGGTTCTCAGTGGCGCATGTATATTAAAAAGGTGCATGATATGATCAGTAAGAAATTTCACCTTATCATCAATATCATGTATGCGCAATATATTAGACCACTGTATATTTTCCAGGTCACAATTAAATCTGTCAATATTAAAACTTTTAAAGTCCCTAAAAGTAACCATTTTTTGTTTACGCTTCTGTATGTTGAAAGAAATTTCACAAAACGTGAGACGGTGATCAGAAAAGATATCTGTATTTAGTGTGCCTCTACTGCTACATCTTTCCGGATTGGTTGTGAATATTGGATCTAACAATGTCTCTGTATATCGAGTAATTCTGGTAGGTTCTGTAATTAATTGCACCATATCATAACTATCAAAACACTGGCTAACTTTATTATTCATATGAAATAAATTAACATTTACGTCACCCATGACCATAATGTGATCAAAAGAAGGAGTGAGAACAGACATAATATTATCCAAACAATCAATAGCTTGATCTAGGTGGCCTTTAGGTGGCCGATAAATAATACCCAAGGCTATATTTGTATTACCAAAATTTATCTTTAACCACATATGCTCCAAATGCCTCTTTTGCTCGTCCATATGGGGATCTAGAATAATCATTTCGCAAGAAAAACTACTATTTACAAAGACGCCAACCCCACCCCCACGAGTGTCTCGGTCTCGACGATAAAAATTATATCCAGCAATATTCACTAAATTTGATGGAATATCTGATGACAACCATGTTTCAGTAACAGCAAAAACATCAAAAACATTTTGTGTTATCATGTCTGATACATCTAAAAAACTTGGTAAAATGGACCTAGTATTAACATGGCCAAACTTAATTACTCTTTTAGAACGTGTATTAACCATAATTAATCTTTTCTTTCAAATTAGTGACATAATTCTGATATATTGTACAAGATGAATCATAGACGGCATGGTTAACTGGTACATTTTTTTTATGTGATTTATTATAATTAATACAATTTATACAAAAATATTCTTCAGATTTACATTCCCTTGTTTTATGCTTTTGTGTACATTTCGGACAAACTAACTCTAACTGACATTCTTTTTCGATGTGACCAAAAGAACAACATTTGTAGCACCGAAGTACGCGCAAATGATCTAGTACGGCAGATTTTTTCCATCCAACATACAAATATCCTCTTCCAATTAACAAGTTTCGCAACGCAGGCGGGACTTCAATAATTATATTAATGTTAGTAAAATGTTTAAGTTTTGTGACAACTTTAATATTTGAACTGTCAACCTCAAGGTTATTTAACGTCAGAATATTGTCAATTATTTGTTGATCAGTATCAAGACCATTTAGGCTTGCATTTTTAATTATTAGTCTCGGATTAAACTTTTTAACCTCATTGATGAGGTACTTAGAACCTAGCTCACTACTTAAACTAGTTTTTAGATTATTTAAGGACTGTTCATTTTCACAGTGCACAGCAATGCCACCTCGTATCTTCCTAGTCCCATTAATACACGCTTTAATATTACCGGGATTAACTGACCTCGTAATATCTCGCAAAATATCATCATTATTAAGTGAATTATCGTTGGATTTTACTATTAATACAGCCGAAGTTGTTTTTGGTGACTTTTTTGTAACATCACTATATGATACACTTTTTCCAACTTGAGATAATGTACTCACGTTTTTCTCCACTGTCGACTGTTCTTCATACCTATGAATTATAGCCTTTTGCAGATTATGTGAATACTCCAGCTCGTTTAATAATTTGTTGATAAGAAATTTTTCTTTATTTAGGCTTTCTATTTCTTTATGAAGTAGGGCAACCTCGTTATTTTCGGCACCGTTGGTTCCTTGCTGTGTTGGACGCCAGGCATCTTTGCAGTTGTCACAAAACCAAAATAAATTTTGACTTTCGTTTAGAATTTTGCACCACGAGTCTCTAATTGATACACAAACTAGATGGTACCTTCTTTTGCAAAAATTGCATATGATATGTTTTGAATTGACAATAAAATTATCAGAGCAGCGGTGACACACGTCAGTATCGACCGACATACCGCTCCACATGTGGAGCTCCGCTCCACAATTGTTTTCCAGTTTTTAAATAAATAAAATAAAATAGTGTTGTACTTAAATCTTATCTCGAATTTTATTAATTATGAAACTTTTAATCAAATTATGAATTTGAAAAATATGTAGTATAATGTATAAAATATATGTATAAGTACCCAAAGATTCAAGTCGTCCAAATAATCATATGTATTCAAAATAATTTAGGTACTTACCAAAAAGCAAAATTTTTAAAATGCACAAGTACAAAACAAACTACAACATATGCTCAAAATGTCCACCACCATTTTCGATGTACGCACGATAACTTCGAATCCAATTTTCGCGCAGTCGCTGGAAAACACCTCAAGAAAAGGAAATAGTGGTACGCAAAAGACACTCCGACACGGTCGAATCCAGATACCAATTGAATTGCGTATTGGTGGTTGCTGGACAGTACATAAACCGCCGCGCCGTTGTCACATTGCTCAATCTGAATTTTATCAAATTTTAAATTTATTGCAACGCTAATTTTTGTTTAGAATTAAGCATAAAGAAGTTAAAAAAAAGTGACATACATTGTATTTTATGGCATTCTATGCACGCAGTTATGTCAATATTCCTTAATTAATCGAAATTTTGATCATTTTTTTCTCGGAAATGGTTGAGTCTAGGACCCATATCATATAACGTTTTTTTTGTGCATTTTAATGTCGTCTTCTAAAATTAAGGCAGTCAAAATTGTAACACCCTGTATAGCGTTTTATTATTATTTTTATTTATGTAGATATGTAGTTAATAATCTTCTTCAGTGTTAGACGAAAGATGTCATTTGATAAGTCTTTTTTCTAAGATAAACATTTATTTCTAAAGTTTCTATTAATAAAACTGCATTTCAATCTTGCCTCATTATATTTAGACAGGGTGGTCTAGTTTCCTATGCGGAAACTTCAGGGATCGATAGAGTTTTAAAAAATAATATGATTTTGATATATAAACTACATTAGAAAAATGCTTCGTTAAGGAAATACAGTGTTCACGATTGGTTTAAAAAAATCAAATTTATTAATTGTTGTCAAAGGGCTAAAACATTTCAATGAAATATTTGTAGACGTTAACTACCACGTTTTGCAATGAAAAAACATTATTTTTAGTTTTGCCAGTGGCATCCGTACTAGCACGTCACAGGATATTTCTAAAGAAAAAAATGGTACGCTACTGCCTTTACATAAAATAAAAATCAGTTTTGGATTTTTCATTCAATTTGGAAGAAAAATGCTCTAATTTGATTTTTCTGTACTCAGCGTTTTCGAGTACAAAAATAAAAAAACCCTTTTAACATAATAATATACAATGTAAATGTAATTTCCGATGCGGAAACTTCAAGGACCGATAGAGATGCAAAAAAATAATATGAGTTTGATATATAAACTATATTCGAAAAATGCTTCGTTAAGGAAATATAATCGTTTGCAATGAAAAACATTATTGTTGGTTATGCCAGTGGCATCCGTACTAGCACGTTATATTTCCAGAGCCAGATAGGGCTCCGTAGCCAATCAGAGTGCCACGGCTGCAAACAACTTATTCTTAAGTATTTTGACTTCCTGAATCCAAAAAACTTGATCGCAAAGCCATAAAATGATTGTTAGGATGCGGGGAATAATATCCGGTAACTTTTTTGGCTTTTCATTGAAGTTAAATAATGAAAAAAACCTTATAAACAAATAACTTCGTTGAAATTTCACAACTTTCTAAGCTGCCATTAACTGTTAAATAAATAAATTGATAAATGGAACTTACCTATCTTGTAAAATAAAGTTCAAGCTTTAAAATGAGATGTGCGTCTCAATCCGAAAAATAGAACCAGAGATATGGTAAAATTGGTGCGCGTGGAGACGGAAAATGTAAGATATTTGCACTAAATTTGCAATAACTTTGGTTAAAGTTAATATTTTTTTAATTTTCAAAAAAATATATTTTTGTTATGAGAAAACGTAACTATTAACGCATAAAAAATTATACTAGCTATATAAATAAACTTTTTACAGCCATTTAAACATTTAATTTGTTAATAACAATTAAACTGACCACTTTCAGGCCTTGCTATCAAGTTTTTTGGATCCAGGAAATCAAAATACTTAAGAATATGTTGTTTGCAGCCGCGGCACTCTGACTGGCCACGGAACTCTGTCTGATTCCTAGACTAAGAATTTACATTAATTTACGTGGTGACAAAGTAACTAGTAATCTGACTGGGTTTAGAAGACACATACCAGGCCTTAAGGCGCGTCCGCATAACAGGGAGCTACCACGACCTTAGGACGGAACGGAAAGGTTACTCACTATTCGATTGGTTGTAAATAATCTCATCACATTTTTCTATTTTCCGTGCTTAGCAGACACACCTCAGGCATGTAAGGAGGTTATTGTGAACTGGCAACAATTACCTATAGTGCCGATGAAGACGACTTGTGTGAGTGAGTAGATAGCCTCGTGCGGAGCTAAGGTGTCAGACGTGTTCTCCGTCGGCGACGAGTTCATGTTGTCACGAAGACCTGCAGGCTAGACGCCGCATGTTGCTCCGCCTTCTCTGAAAAGGAAAGCAAGTTATAAGTCAGATCTGATCGAAAATGAACAGGATTCATGCAATAATGTCATGGAAATATATTTCTTCCATCAATTTGTCAAGAATCAAGAAATGTATATGCTCTTTTGTAAAAGCTCTTTAAATTGCATTTAGACCCGTCAGTCCTAAATGAAGTTGTCATAAGATATTAATTTCTTGTTTAATTGTTTAAAATAACCCTATTATTAAATCAGTTTATATTAGTAACAATATAGTGGTTTTTCATAAATGAAATTCCACAGTGTGACTAATTTTAAACAAAAAATGTATTTATTGTCCGATTTAATTCGGGTTTCTTTTTGGAAGATAGAGACATAAACACTTTAAACTGCACACATAAGTATTTATAATCAGGTTTAATTCGGGACTTTTTCTGGAAAGTAGAGCTAAAAACTATTACGTCAGTTGTCAAAGTCTGCTTATTATTTTATCTTGATTTGTTATTAAATTTTATATACTTGTTTATTAATCTGATTACGCCACTGGATTCTGCACCCCCTCAATTGAATTTATAATAAATTTCATGAACATTGTAAAATTAATGTTTATGGTTTTCATCACTCGTGTTACTCTTAAACGGAGAGCATACATAAATTAAATAAACAGAAAATATAAACTAATTTGACTTTTTTAGTATCTTATTTCAAATTAAATAATCATTTTCATGGATAAATCATTTAATTACAGTTATGAGTAGCAAAAAACACGAACAAATCATATCTGAAAACTAAAAAGTGCTGCGCGATCTAAAATTTTTCACATTTTTCTCAAACGTCTGTTTTATTTTACACAATTATTACGTAGCTTTTGAATATTTTTCACCTTAAATATTTGGAGAATAATAATAATTATCCTACAAGCCTCAGTTCAGTTCACCTGTTGGTTAGTAGATATATGTTTGATTTATGTGTACCCCACAAATTTAATATTTAAAAAGAGTAAATTAGTGAACATTTTATTTCTTTATTTTATGTAATTACTATTCCATAAAATTTTACAATTAACAGTCAATATTTTTTTACGATAAGTGTAGCAGTTAGATTTTAAACCAAAATTCGCTAACCAATTTTTATAAAATTTGATGATTAAACAAAATAATAAGCTGACTTTGACAACTAGAAATAAATTCGTATGTCATGTGCCAAAATATAGTTGTCTAACACTATTTTTCGAGAAAACACTCGAATTAAATTAGATAAATAAATACAATACAAAGGTGTTTCCATTTGAAGTATAAGAAATACAGCGTTGACGAACCTTAAGTGTCCTGAGCATATAAAAAACGTGGAAGTTTTCAAAGAAAAATATTATACGGGGTGTCAATTCAGTACACATACAAACTTGAAATGATCCTTTGAGCCAAAAAGTTTATATAAACATAAGTCCGCAATCCAATAATTTTCGAGATACAGGGTGTTAAAGTTAAAAAAAAAAACGCCGTTTTTGAAATATCTTTGATGATGCTTTATTAAGAATGGAATACGTATATGAATGGCGGAGATACCCCAGACATTCGACTCCACTGGGTAAAAATTCAATGATTATTGGCTGCTTCGGAGGAACATTGACGTAACTGCAAATATGTGAACTTTACAGGAGAAAGAAAAATCGTAAAGATTTAAATGAGGAGAAATTTATTGACAATTCTGAAACTGTAGTATGTGTGGAAACTATCTGTGTATTTGTGTGGAGTTGTGTATTTTGGAATGTGTTAAATAAAAACGTGTTGGGAATATTATAAACAGAAATTTGAAGTTACTCATTGTTTTTCCGGAGCTATGTAACTTATTGTGTCGTTTCCAAGAAAAAACATCTTTCATTTTATTCGAAAAACGAATTGTTTATTATTTTCTTTATTAACGTTGCCAAATACTCGTATAAAGTTTCATTATTCTCCATCAAACGTCTTTAGATACATTTTAGAAATAGTTATTTTCTTTTAAATCTCAATACTCTGTATATCAAAAACTATTGATATGTGAACCCATATAACCTTTATGGTTTGAAATTACTCAAATATTTGTCCCTTAAAGTTTATCTACGAATTCAGTTAATACTGTGTACATAAATATCTTTTGAAAAAATAAAGATATTGAAACTATATTTTATCTGCGCAATGCTTAAACAAAACGGCATTCAATGTGAAAAAAATAATCTTAACTCAAACCAATAGCGTAGATATGCCGGTTACGTTTTTATCAAAACTTATTGCGTGATACCTACTTGAAAAAAAGTAATTTTTTAAACGTGAACTTTGTTTTGAACAAAAATAATGTATTTTTGCATGTATTATATCATTCTTCTACAAATTAGCGATTTGTAAAGATGATACGTTTAAATAAATGTAGAATTTAGTTAAATAATTCTACAAAATGTGTTCTATATGGCGTCTCTGTCAATAGACTTTCCGAATACATATTTGCTTACTTTTTTAAAGATTTATGTATCATGATAAATCCGCTGATAGTTTTCTTCTAAACTTTAATACCCTTTATCTCAAAAATGAGAGATTTAAAACAGCGTTTCAAGAGAGCGTTTTCCTCTTTAATTTTTGCTACGCTGTTGTGCAGCACCCTGTACAATTTTAAATTTACCGAAACAAGTATCTTTACAAATTGTTAATTTGTACTAAAATGGTAAAAGGTAAGTTAATTGGAGAGAACACTTTTGTTTGAAATAAAGTTAAAAAAATGTAATACATTCTTTTTACCAGTGTTTTCCACGTCTACGCAGCAGGTTTGGTATTCTTCATAGTAAGTGTATTTTGCATAAAATTATTTTATAATAGTTTTTTTTTAATATTAGAATATATACCGTGTGAGTATAAAGTTCCGCATAAAATTCATATATTTTTAAACAATGTTTTTCAAAAATTATGTAAAAACACTTCAATTAGTCAATTTAGTTAGCTTTCATTTTATGTAGGCACATAAATCATATTGGTCAAAATGGCGGCCTGATGAGGTAAACATGCAATTTTTTAGAAGGGAACCCTTACTTTTTTTTCATTTTTGGATTTAGCATCCAATTTTGAGTCTTCTGATACCCCATAGTCGATACTTTTTTCCAGTGGTTTTACCGTTACTCAAATTTTTATGTCAAATATTGAAAGTTGGCAACTTGATACGACCGGAATTTTGTGAGATTAGTTGTATTTCTTATCAATAAAATATAAAGTTGCCTACTCTTTCTTTTGCAAGAACAATATTATGTAATTATTTCAATGTCAAAAAATTTCTTTCTCTTTCCTAAGAAATAAGGTGTACCTACTTAAAAATGCAAAAACAGTTGAAATAAGGATTTGAATAACGTAAAACCACTGGAAAAATCGCCTAAGGAGTATCAAAAGACTCAAAATTAGATGCTAAATCCAGAAAGGAAAAAAGCCTTTTTAAAAAATTGCGTGTTTACTTCATCAAGCCGCCATTTTGGAAAATATAGCTAATGTGCTTACGTCAAAAGAAAGCTAACTAAATTTACTAATTGACGTGTTTTTGTATAATTTTTTAAAAACAGACAGACAGACAGACAGACAAATATACAGACAGACAGACAGACAGGCAGACAGACGGACGGACGGACGGACGGACGGACGGACGGACGGACGGACGGACGGACAGACAGACAGACAGACAGACAGACAGACAGACAGACAGACAGACAGACAGACAGACAGACAGACATACAGACAGACAGACAGACAGACAGACAGACAGACAGATAGATAGATAGATAGATAGATAGATAGAAGTACCTAATATAAAATCGTTATGAAAAAAATAATAAATAATAGTAAAATACATATACAGCACAGTCCACACGCGTATAACAGTGTTGACACGTAACTAGTTCATAATTTAAAAAACAAAGAAAATGGTAATAAAACAATACAAGTAGAAGCAATAAATGGTTGTCAAATGTTAAAATAAAATGTTTGTAAGAGGACAACAAAACAAACAAACAAACAGTAAATGGTACATGTTAAAATAACATTATGAGTAATATAGTAAGAAAAAAACTGAAACAATGCAACTGAAGTGTGCGAAGCTACGTCTAAGATAGTCATATTAGGGTGAGATCACTTTTTAAAAATTCTTGCATAGTATAAAATGCGTAATATGCTACCGTTAGTATTTCATTTCAAATTTCGTTTACATAAGAATAAAATACCAAAGGAATGCGTGGGTTCCATTTTTTTTTATTAAAAATTTCGTTGAAAACAAAGCCTTTATAAAGGTATATTGCTAACTCTAATTCAAAAGACTAAGTAAATGTTATACAATGTTCTTTATCCTGAACTGAATCAGTAATATGTACTTTAGATGTGGGAAGACAAACAAAGATAAACATTTTATATCTATTTAACTTCACTGATCTTTTAACACGCAAATCCATATCGTCGACGATTTATTGTTTTACTGAATAATACATTTGCCACTAATAAAGTTACATTAAGTGCTAAACGTGGATGAATTGATAATCCAGGTTGTAATGGCTACACATTTAATACAAGATAAAGCCTCTGACGAAAATATTTATACGGTTACAAATATTCACGAAAAATGTATGGTTTGCATATGGAAAGTGAGTTAAAAAGTGTGATTGATTTCGTATTTATTTATAACTTTTTCAGTATATTGCCTTAAAATTATTAAATTATTGTAACAATACTGTTCATACCAAAAGAAAACTTTTTTTGTTGAACATGTCAATAATTGAAATGCATCTTACTAAAAGAAAAACTATCTAAATAACTGCTTTCAGAAAATTCTGAAATAATTTTGAAACGCCATTTGTATCGAGTCGACTGGTAACCTTGGTACACTCTAGAATTGTTATGTCGTAGTTTTAATTAACCGATGAATTGGTAATCCAAAGCCAGAAAATATGATTACAGACGTCTATACATTTAACA